GGAACAATTCCCGCCTGTGTTGTTTTGTGTGGAATTACAATTCCTGCCTGTGTCGGTTTTTTATTTTGTTTTTTTTTTTTTTGTGTGGAATTACAGCGTTTCCCTGACCTCTGGAGCTTTTTGAACGTGTGTGCATAACAATGCCTCGTTTATGTAAGCAGAACATTTCCCTGCTCGCTGTAATTAACTCGCTAATTAATCTCCTTTAACTCGGGCCCTCCCCTCCCTGCTCCCTCTTTTCCCTCCCCCCTTTCCCAAAGTCAGATGATTGGAGCCTCGTTAGGAGAAAATTAACTAATGAGCAACTAAAACAACGGGGCCGTTTGTTGGATGCCAAAAATGGCTTTTAATTATTATTATTATTATTATTATCATTATTATTATTATTATTATTATTATTATTATTATTATTTTAATTATCCTGGCTCTCACTGTGTCCTCCACGGAAACCAGAGCAGGGTTTGTCCTTGGAGGGGTCCAGACCCCAAAATCCATCCCTGTGCTGTTCCAATCCTTTGGGAATTATGGGATCATGGGATGGTTTTGGGGTTGGGAAGGACCTTAAATCCCATCAGGGCAGGGTTGGGAATTATGGAATTATGGGATCCCATCATAATTTGGGTTGGGGAGGACTTTAAATCCCCTCAGGGCAGGGTTTGTCCCTGGAAAGCTCCAGACCCCAAAATCCACCCCTGTCCTGTCCAATCCTTTGGGAATTATGGGATCCCATCATAATTTGGGTTGGGAAGGACTTTAAATCCCATCAGGGCAGGGTTGGGAATTATGGGATTATGGGATGGTTTTGGGGTTGGGAAGGATCTTAAATCCCCTCAGGGCAGGGTTTGTCCTTGGAGGGGTCCAGACCCCAAAATCCACCCCTGTGCTGTCCAATCCTTTGGGAATTATGGGATGATGGGATGGTTTTGGGGTTGGGAAGGACCTGAAATCCCATCCCAGCTCAGCCCACGGGACATCCCCACCCACAGCTCCTCTGGGCAGGGCTTTGTATGGGAATTATCTCAGGGAATAATAAATGATCAGGGACACAACTCCGAGCTGCTAAATGAGAATTAATTCCAATTATTGCCCTGCATGCTGTCTGCTCATTGCACAGCCTTTTAGGTGGGAAGAGATGATCCAAGGAATTAAAAAAAAAATGGGAAAAAAAATCTCTGTGGGGGGGCTTTGAGGTCTCCTCCCACCCAGCCCATGCCCTGATTCCATCCTGAGATCCCAAGGAAAAGGGATTTGGGAGCAGCAGGGCCCCAGCTCCATTCCTGACTCAGTATGGGATACAACACTGCCCCAGGCCTGGTTCTTCCTCTACACCTGATTTACACCTGATTTACACCTGATTTACACTGGATTTACACTGGATTTATCCCTGATTTATCCTGGATTTACACCTGATTTACACTGGATTTATACTGGATTTACACTGGATTTATACTGGATTTACATTGGATTTATCCTGGATTTACACCTGATTTACACAGGATTTACACTGGATTTATCCTGGATTTACACCTGATTTATACTGGATTTATACTGGATTTATCCCTGATTTATCCTGGATTTACACCTGATTTACACTGGATTTACACTGGATTTATACTGGATTTACACCTGATTTACACTGGATTTACACTGGATTTATCCTGGATTTACACCTGATTTACACT